ATGGTTGGCAGGAGATCCTGGTGCCAGTTAAACTATTTGCAGACCATTGTATGCTAATGGCTAGAATATCTGCTTTGGAAATAGGAGTGTCTGGATCTATTCCCTTTTCATGCATGGGGATGACACCCATTGCATTGCCCCTTCCTGAAGGGGCTATAGCTACAACGCTGGTCTGCGCAGAACCTGGGATTATAGACCTGTGATGTGCAGCTCACTCCTGCCCCAAAGCAGCAGCCTAAATTAGGAACCCAGGGGTAGAATGTCCAGCTGGGAATGAGGGGACGATTTTAATACTTTCCCCCAGACTACCTGCACATTTGTCAACACAAACAGACCTGCAACCTCCTTCTTGTATCCAAATTCCCCAAACACTCAGCAGCAAGGTCTGCTGGCTTGCCCATGTCTTACCTTTGCCCTGTGTTTCCCACTCCAGTGTTAATGCAGGCCAAACCAGTTGGTGCCCTTCTGTGCTGAGTGACAAGTCACTCCCTAGGAGGGTCTGCATGTTTCTCTTATAGTTAAGAAATCCTAGACACCCTGGGATTGGAGGTGGCTATACAGCTGTTTACCCTGAGAAAGATGCACAGGGTGGAAAGGAAACCCTATGAGGAACTTGCAGCCAAATGAGGAGGTAGCAAGTGAATTTTCCAAGTTTCTGGGGTTTTCCAACAGAGAAAGAGATACTTTTATATCACACTTCTGTACTTAACCGCAACCCCCACAAGTCCTGTTTTGTGCAGTTAAAACACTCTTTTCCTCCAAAGGTATGTCAGCACTATTGTGAAAGATGACATTGCAGAATTATCAGAGCAGAATAATTAAATGAGAAGTTTCTTCCAGTTCTTCTTCTGAAAAAGCCTTTCTTTCTTATTTCTTCGGACCTTGGCAAAGAAATGCTCTACTCCCCTCTTCTGAATCCTCCTCTTCATACACTCCTTTCTGAATAATTTCGACTCCCCTTGTTGGCCTTGTGCAAATGACTGTGCAGGGAGGGTTGTCCCACCTTCTGGGCAACCCAATGGCAATTATAATTGAAGCCCTGTTCAGCTTAGTACTACAGCTGTAGAAATCAAGACAGATCCAAAAGAGACATCATTACTAAGTAGGATGCTGTGCTCATCCTCAGATGAGCTGCAGGGCTAATCCCAAGGTGTCAATGGTATTACTATAATAGCTGAAGCAGGAGGAATATCTTAGCACGTAATGAGCTATGCTACATTTACAAAGAAAGAAAGAACAATATTCTAGTTTAAAGAACAGACAGGGATGTCATATGTAACTATTACAAGCAACAGAGTGTGAAGAATTAATATAATCATGGAAAAGTATTTGGTTTTAGCAATGTGCTTATTATTAATCACTAAATATGGGTGTTCTAAAATTTAAATGCATGAAGCACATTATATTATCTTAACATGAAGCAAGGACATTGTTGGTCTTACGGAAAAGGGTAAATATTATGGAAACAGGAATCAGGACACCACCTAAAACCTGCTTGAGAACTTAAGCAAATGAAACAAATTTTCAGATCATTGTAAACTGTATTAAATCCCCATAATAATCATCCTTATATTAGCTCCAGTGATCCCAAGAACTATCAGTATATTATCTATAATTACTGTTGGTTTTTGTAATAAGCATCATCTCAGGAAAACCTCGTGCACACATTGAAACATCTGCAATGAAGAGCCATCTAAAATGCCTATGCATAAAACAGCTTGAAAGATTAGAATGTATGGTTCGTCCATCTGTAGTCGTAAAAAAACATGTATTCTATTTTAAAAGTGTGTAGCCGAAAACTAATTTCCTGACCTGCTTCACAGTGTGGCCCTATAGTGTGGCTATGGAGGTCACACAAGCCAGGTGGTAATAAGCAGCCAGAAGGCAGCAAGGAGAAGCTGCCTTTGCGGGTACTGTCATGAAGCCGATGGTGTGGTTGAGTCATGGTGTATGTGCTGGGGACCATGCTCATTTCTGATTTCTCCCCACGTTCCTGGTAGCACAGCTCCAGTGCAACTATGATGTCCATGAGGCTGCTCTGGGCTGTCCACCCTCCCTTCAGCTGCAAGCAAGCTGTCCATGGGCAGTAGTGTCAGTTGGTGTAAAAAAAAATTATACTTTAGCACGGAAGACCGAAAGCCCAGGGCACTTGAGTGTACTTCTTTGCACATCCCAACTTGCCTGTCATGTCACACATGAACCTGGATCACTGGAGAAGGGAGCAAAGACATGGTGATGCTGCTCTGTACCTCTGCCCAGAGGCTAACAGAGTCCGTCTCTTGGGGCTTCCTTTATATGAGTCTTTCTGCCTTCCTGTTGTTTCTGCCCTGCCCATTGGCCAACACTTTTTACCTGCATGTACCTTTTCATTTCGATGCAATCATTCTTGATCCAATACTGATGCTAACCCAAGTGCGCTGTAGTGTTACGGGCCATTCTTATGGTTAAAGTAGAGAAAAACCACTTCTTAGTCAGGGGCTTTATACTTCGATTGTTAAAATATTGTTGAAATTGTTGTCACTGGAAAAGAGGAAGAAAATAGAGGTTCTGGATTTTATGTAGCATGTTAGCCATTCCTGTGGTTAGAGCTGGCTAGAAGATGACTAGAAATATCAAGACTATATAAGATTTAGCGTGGGAAATAATTCTTACTCATTTACTTGTATGTAGTATCATATGGCACTGTCATCACAGCTAACAGAGGGGAGAATAATGTGTTAAAGATTTTGCAGATGGCTTTTTTTTTTTTTTTTTTTAATTAGGAGAGACAGGAGCAAGAAACATTTTAAATAGCTCTTTCAGTGCATAATAACAAATGTTCACAAAATCTCACAAGGATAAGATTTACCTGCAGCTACAGCTATAACACAACATAGTTCTGCAAACACTCCCAGCACACGGTACAGGAAAAGTAGATGTATCAGAGGTAACTTCATCTGCTATTGATTTTGCTTATGTTTTCTGGGTCATAATATTGTGTTGATCACCGTGCCACTTGTGGAAAGTGTTGTGTATTTTATAACTCTTGACAGTTTGTAAGGCACAGTCCTTTCTTTGCCTGCCTTTTACCAAATTCCCATAGATGCGGCAGAATTAATGAGGCTAACAAGAAGAGTAGAGGCACCAACTAGACTGGCTTTACACCACACTACAGAACGATTTACAGTACAGTGTGTAACAGCGTGATCGCCATGTTCATGCTTGTGTGTCTGCTGATTGCACAGCTGACCAAAACCTATTGTTTGTATCTTCATGAATCTTTCTGTCAGTTTTGAACAAGCACACACTGCAGTGAATAGTCTGGAGAATATGCAGACAATTGCAGGCATTTTCCTCTGATTTACCTGTCCAATTTTTGCTTTGAGTTGTCTACCATTGCTGATCAAAACCAAATATGTGGCTGACAGCGTAATCACATATTATTTCTATGTCATTTACCTGTCCTGTTACCTCTGTCACACCAGAATGATTCTGGCAAGGCTCAGGCAGTAATAAGGCTACTCCTTATTAGATGCAAATCCTCTCAACCCTCTTTTCCATCACTTTGTGTTTTATGTAATCTCAGTGACACATGACTGCAACTTTCCCGTTTGGATCTGGTAGGAGATTACATCCACCACATGTGCTACACTGAACTGGAAGTGCCACACCTTTATTACATTTGAGATTACATATTTCTGCTTTAGATGAGATTAGTTACAGCTGATCTCATAGATGAGGTTAGTTACAACTGATCTCATATTTTCCTCCTGCTTTGGAAATGGATGACCTTCCAGATCATTTCAAGATGAGAAAAGCTGTTTCAGTGCTGTTGCAGAGATGAATGTTACACAAGTGATTGTGTTGCTCACTACATGTCAAGCAGACTAAGCATCCAAGTCCATGTACCTTTTTCCCATTAAATTTGTGTCTTTCAGATATGTACAGTGCTCACAGGATTGTTTGCCTGGGTAGAAAACACCTCACTTAGTTTTTAAACAGTCTGAAAATTAAAGATTTGTGAGTGCTCACTGTCTTTCTTACTGTGGCTGAAGGTGATCTATAGGCATGTTGCTCAGCCCGTGCACCATTAGTGGTCCATGACACACCAGAAGGCACTGGGCCTTGACAAAAGCCATGTTCCTCACGCTTATGCAGAAGTTCCATTTTTATAAAACCAACACCAATGTGTTAATGCAAAGAGCTTTGCTTGCTTGAACTCCCACAACTGTGAAGCAATATGATGATGCATGGTGGCCCCTGGATAATTTTTCCAGAAGGCAAGACGAGTGTTGATTTAGGAAAAAAACAAACCAAAACAAAAAGCTGCTGATCCAGTTTCCTCAAAGCCTGTGGAGTCGTGTTTATGCTCTGCCTCCCCAGTACTTTGTGCAACTGAAGAAGTCATTCTCGATGCCTGAGGGCTGCACTGCCTTGTGTCTATCCACAGTTTAGCCAAGCTGACTGCATTAAGGAGTATGTAATCCCACAGTGGTGTTCCCAGTTTCTCTCTCTTTTCCTGCCACACTTGCTTGTTCACCTAGCTAGAAGTTACACAACTTCTGGCCTTCTCTAACCCATAAATATGCCTTTTGAGCTGCCATTACGCTTATCTGTGAACCAGATCTTTCTGGGGTTTTCAGGTTGGTTTTAAAATATCCAGATTATTCATAGGTCTGCAGCCATATGTCTAGGTTAGAAGCAGCTGAATCAGGACAACCAAGGTAGCCTCAGCTGGCAAAGACAAAGCTTAACCCAGGTCTGCTGCTGGTGACATAGTAACATGCATCTGTACCCCAGATCAGCTGAACTCACCACCAGAGATCCACAGAGACCAAATTAAAAACATACTGGCATCCAGTGAAATCAAAGACTGTCACATGCAAGGCTGGGGGCGCGCGCACACACACAGAGTCCACTTTTAAGTCTAGAAGGATGCTCATACACAAAGACAAGGAGTTTATCTTGACAGATAAGGTCTAATACTGCTTTTGGTTTTGTTGTTTAATTCACAGAAGGGTCAGCTACAACGTGTCTCTCCAGGAAGATTCCACAATGAAAACAACAACCCAAACTTGCTTTTTACTGATCATCCTTCTAATTGTAAGTATGAGAAAACTGAACTGCTCATGACACCTGCCAAATTTAAACTTGTGGTGATGTTTAGAAAAATGAGTACTGAGTTATATTTGTTTTATTGCACAGGTGAAGGAATGAGTTCCCTTACTGATAAATATCAAAATAAGGTTAATAAAGTTTCTAAACTTTGAACTTGAAAACATTGGTCTTTGGTAAGACAGAACTGCAAGTCAGAAGAAGATAATGTATGTGATTTTTCATTTCTGTGTTCTACAGGCTACAACATATCAGTGACATGGAAACTTAGTCTGTTTGAAAACTCCCTTAACTTTGTTGTGTGAAACTTAGACTGACTTCAGTAATTGTGGATTTTCACTGTTTATAGTTACTCTGCTATTAGGAAAGCAACTGAAATGAAAAATGACAGAATAAAGTTCAGTGAACGGTATTCAGTTGAAATTATATTTTCAACTGTTTAATATGAATATAATACTTATTTCAATGTATGCACCATGGCTGAGTAACTGTTGTCCTAAATATGTAGTAACTTCATTTCTACCTGACTAAATACCCCTCATGTAAGTTGAATGCTTTCTCTTATTTCTACTTGTGAAACCTGAAATTATCAGAAATTATCATAAAATAGTAGACATTACTGATTGTGAGAACTGAGACTACTGCCCAGAGCCTCAGTTACAGAACAGTCAGAATATGTCTGAATGTTGTTACTGGGAACAAGCACCTCTCCTACCTTGGTTTGATATGAGTAACTTGCATGCTGGATGCCACCTTATTCCTCATCTAACTGTTTGTCTCTGTGTTCCTGAAGAAAACTTTGATTCTTACTCTTCTTGGTTTTGTTGGTTAGCTCCTCACGCCCCTCTGCTTCTCGTGTTCTCTTCCAGCACCTGAATGTGAAACGTTTGTGCACACCCCCCCATCAGCTCCCATTCTTTCTGGCTATAAGTTGTAGAAATGGGGCTAGAAGACATGTTGGGGAACAGTAGAGACTGCTCTTCCTAGTTTGTTGGTTGGGTTGTGTCCCTCTGCTTCTCTCAGCCTAGCTTAACTTGCCCAGGGTACCGTTTGCCACATAAATTTATATGGATAAAACAGAGGGAAGGAAAGCAGAGAATGGTAAGAGAGTGATGGATAGAAGAAGGTAAAACAAATAAATGAGATTGTGGAGAACCCAGGAGGACAGCAAAGAACACTTTATGTTGGTAAAATACTGAATTCATTGTTCAGGATTAGGACCCTCAACCAAAGAAGAGCTGGAGAGCCGACTAAAGAACAAAGGAGAGTTGATGCATTTCTGCTAACTTTGTCTCAAAATAATTTGTCCAGAATAAATTAATGATCTGAGGAACCATCCCAGTGCTTGGCAGAATTCTTCTGCCGTGAGATATATTGGAGTATTTCTGGTGGTTGTGAGCTTTTGTGGCTGTTCCACATAGCCCTGCAAGGGATGCACGTAGCAATGCACTGGCTGGGAAATCACCCATGGTCAGAGATCTCTCTAACAAAATGGTCTGATAGAGACCAGCTTCCTTCTGGGTTTGAATCCCAGCTGGTCTGCACAGCCCGACAGGGGCCTTGGAAAAAAACCCAGTGATTCTTCCTATAACAAGCCAGTGCCAACTGAAAGAGCAGTTCCAGATAATTTTTATTCCCCAGTCTAGTGACAGGACTGTAAATTTTCTGATAACTAAAATTGTCAACAGTAATTCTGAGCATCTGATTTGTAGGTCAGTGCTGAAGGACTGAACCAATCCTTGCCCCGTTGTCCACAAATCTGTTAAATCTCTCACCCATGATAGCATGTGTGCAATGTTAGTTCTGTGCTCGTTCCCGCAGTACTCCAGGACTAGGGTTTCTTTAAGAAATTCTACAATGAGATCTGCATCCCCTTCCTTTCAGGTATCTTTGCACCAGAGGGGTCTCCAACTTCCAACCTCAATGGATAACTTAAGCACAAGTTTCCTTACATTTTCACTGTTCCAATCTCTATATTCCTTCCTTCCTTCCCCACCGCAGTGGCCATACTGTGATCTACTTAGACACCTCCGAGATTAGTTTATCTTCTGGTAACTGAGAAGCCACAGTCATAGAAGTAGAACAAGCTTTGTTGCCTTAATGACGTTTGCCAGAACACTACTGTTAGATCAAATATGAAAAATACATGTCATAAGTCATTTTTCCAAAAATTTTTGACCGGTAACTGGTAGAAAATGTTATTTTCTTTTACATTTTGTGGTCTGTAACAACAAAAGGGTGTCTTTCTTTCTCTTCCAAAGAGACTGTTCCCAATCTGTTGGTTCTTCTAATCACTTCTTGATTCCCAGAGCCATGAGCCCCTGGAACTTACATGTCAGCCACTTCTGAATTTGAGAAAGATATAGTAATTGAAGTGATTGGTGACACAGGGGTGATCTCTCATTCCTGTTCTCTACCCACCCCACAAACCACCCTCCAGATCTTTCTTCTTTGATGGCTTTAATGGTTTACTGTCATCTGTGTCCTGCATTCCTAGCTGGTGACTGCATGCTGTTGCAAAGCAACACAACCTTTTGAGGCCCTTGCTTTCTCCTCTGCTTTCTCTCTCTGCTTATGCCATTTGTCACACTGTAGGAGCCAATCCCCCTGCAGTGGTCACCAGTATTGAGAAGGACATGCTTTTTACCTGAAATCTTTTCTTTGTGTAGCTGTGATTCCCTAACACACTCAGTGTTGGAGCACTCTCTGCTCTGTATACAGTCTCAGTGCTTTGCAGACTTCCTCAGATTCATCCCATATCTCCTTGAATGTTTTATCATAGACCACAGTTACATGGCGTCCATAGACACCCTCTCCCCACAGTCTCCTTTACACTTGTCACCAAGAAGTTTTGGTACCTTCCGATAGAAACCATCTCTCTTACATATGTCATTTTTTGCATAGAATGAATAGCACTTTTCTGTGTACAGGTCCATAATTCACCTTTGCCAAACAAAAACTAAAGCACCAATTGCTCCAAAACCTTATTTAGAAATAAAATTAACTCCTTATTGTCTTCTTTAATGGCTTCTCTTGCTTTTGGATGCATAATAATGCATCACCAGATAGTCCTCTACAATTCAAAGTTAATTCTAATAAATTTGATTGTTCATTATTTTTTAGTTCACTTTATTCCTGATGCTCTCTAGTTTTTGGTAATTACTGAGAGCCACAGAATGTAACTGAGATCTGTTTCCTCAAGTACATGAGCCCCTGTGTACTGGAGCAATTAGTTCATCTCTCAGTGCACATTTCTTTCCACAAGAAAGATGGAGCATCATCACGGTGTGTCCAGGGGCATCGAACTGCAGAGAATGAGGAGGAGGAAACAAGCTTGGGTCTCTTTCCTGTGTGACCGATCAATTTTGCAGGATGTTGAGAAAAGACAGTTCTGTTCTCTGTTTGATTTTTATCAAGTAAGAATTGTCATCTAGTGCTAACAAATGGTAGTTTGGTCTTATCCTTTAAATGAGAATTGTTGGAGTAGTTCTCACATATTACAATGTTGTTGTCCCGACAAACCACAAAGTGCAAGAAAGGACAAAATGGATGGTCCAGCTGAAGACCACACTATCATTCAATTAGGTCCATTAGACCAAGATTGTATTTTAAAATAATTTAATGTTGAGTAAAAAACAAATTGTACAAGTTTGTTAAGTTCAAATCTGTCAAATTGTTACCAAGCTTCAGTCACTAAGCTATACCCAGTCTGGTACATTGTATCAGCTCCTGAAGGGCCTGTGAATAATTCCCATTCACAAAACATGGAAAATTAACTATGTGAAAGCCTAAATGTGATTGTCAGTAACTGCACAAACTGGTGTGTTTTGGAACACAATTGGGGTAGGTGCAAGTCACCAGAAGTCAATTAGTAAAATGGTTGCCACTATGATGAGGGCACCACTCACGGTGTACCCATTTCATCCTTGCAGCTGGGAATGTAATATGCACTGGTGGGGCAGTGTGGTCATGTGCCCCCGGGCTCCTGCCACCTGCCTGGCTCAGTGGTTCTCACCATGAGTCTCTAAAACCCATGCTTGTGTGGGTACTGTAAGCACAAGCCTTTTCCTGCTCAGACAGCAGCTCTTCCATCATCTGGTCCAGAGCAGGTCCCACCCTTTGATGGGCCAGAAGAGCTGCTGAAGATCTATCACATCCTCCTTTGGCATGCTTCATCAGAGCCTTGCTTACTGTCTGGTATCACTGGAAGCCCAGGGGATTCCCATCCTTGGATGATGAGATCCCCCTGGGTCTCATTACCTGAGACCATGGCTTTGAAAGCTATTGGTCTGTAGTGTGCATTTCCCTTTGTAACTGTGGGTTACTTCAAGCTGTAAGTGGACAGCTGTAAGGAAGTGGACTTGCAAGTTCTGTAGCCCTTCTCACACAAGAAGAACTCAGGAAAACAAGCTGCTGATGTAAGGCGGTGAGAATTAGTGTGAGAATTTGAGACTCAAACTGCTCATGATTTCCCAAGAGGGAGAGGAATGCGGTGTTTTATTTTATTCACCCAGTCTCATGAGTGATCAGGACTTTTTGTCTCCACCTTTGCTTTTTAAAAACCAAGAATGTTGCTGTGCAGCTGATTGCCCTAAAGAGGTCTCTCACAAGATGTTAATGGGAGCTGCAAGCGAAAACCCATGAAGGAGTCTGCAGTCTTCCTTTAAGCCCGCAGTTTGCATCAGGTTACTCTGGGAGTAAAGCTTCCTTCTGTGAGCAAATCCTGCTGCAATGGAAAAGAACTGTAAGATTAATGAGTTGATTTTCATTACAAGTGCCTTGTCTTCACCTATTGTGGCTGATAATCTTGTGCTTGTTTAAACAGCTGCCAAAATCTGCAATTTAAGTCACATGGGATCTTACTGTGATTTCCATCCTGCTTAACAGCAACGGATTATGGGAAAACTTTAACATTCAGTGGCTAAGTAAAACATGTCATGCTGAGGTATTTCCCCAAAGAAATTGTCTGCTGTTTCCTAGCGCATTTG